GGACCACGCTCCCTCTCGAGGCCCCTGGAAAGGATCTTTGCTTGTCTTGTCCTAGCTTCTGGATCTCCTGGAAATCCTTGGTGTGCTTGATTTGTAGACAGCATCACTCCAATCTCTGCCTTCACTGCGACAGGGATCCTCCCTATATCTCCTCTGTGTCTCTGTATCCACATCTCCCTCTTCGTTTACAAAAAGACACCAGTTATTGGATTTAGGGCCCACCCTAATCCAGTCTGCCTTCATCTTGACTCGATTCATCTGTAAAGACTATTTCCAGAGGTGCACACTTGAACCTCTGGTACCAGAGGTGCACACTTGAACATATCATTTTGGGTGACATGGTTGAAACCCACTACAGCATGCAAAAGGATGGAAGGGCTATCTGGTGCTGGCTGTGTTAAGGTGGGCCACTCATTTTCCCCTCACCCACAGATCATAAGATAGTCCAGGATTTAGGGAGGCAAGTTTATTTCCCCAATTTTAACACATTGCAAAGCACTGGTCCCCCCACCCCACCTCCAGCAAACACTTCTAAGCACGGAGGAAGTGAGGGACCTTGAGCCATATAGGCACAGAGGTGACTTTGCCCATCCCTGCCCGTCAGAAGCTCGTAGTTCAGGGGCAAACAGACATTTAAATAATGGGCTGGGCTGGGCGTGGTGGCGCACACCTGTAATCCCAGTTACTCGGGAAGCTGAGGCATAAGAATCACCTGAACCCGGAAGGCAGAGGTTGCAGTGAGCTGAGATTGTGTCACTGCACTCCAGCCTGGGCAACAGAGTGAGAATCCATCTCAAATAAATAAATAAATAAATAAATAAATAAATAAATAAATGATAATAATAATAAAAGATGGGCTGAATAGCATCTAAACTTGGTTTCCTTTCTTCAGGCAAATTTTTAAGCTAACTGATGTCTCTTAATATAAACCACTTTTTTGTTTGAATTCGGAGGAAGAGGGCGAGTTGTAGCTATGGCCGTGGCAGGTGGTGCCAGGAGAACCATAACCAGCTGCAGAGTTGGGGTCCTGCAGACTATCAGATGTACAGTGTTGGGCAGGGCCCCTTATATTTTTTTTGCTTGGAAGTGGAATAAAAACTGCTCACCAGTGAATCCAGGAAGCAGGCTGGGAGGCGGCCATCGGACTCTTCCTTTGTGCAGCTCTCTCTGCACAGATTGCTATGCAGGGAGCTTTGGTTTTTTGATGGGTGATTTTTTTTTTTTTTAAATGGAGATGGGATCTCCAGCAGAGATGGGTGGAGATAGGAGAGACAGAAACCGAGGAAAAAGATGAAGCATTAGGTCTCCTGGAGGGTGGGGAAAGGGGCAGAAACAGAGGGAGCTGCTTTCCCGAGGGAGGCTAAGAGCTCTGGGCAGAAGCAGTGGCTTCAGTGCCTGTAGGCAGAGCTGGAGAGCAGTGCATCCCCCTTTGGGTACCCTCCCGAGACTCCAGGGCTGGTG